CCAAGTTCAAGCTGTGAAGATGCAATACCTCAGAAGAATGGAGGAAAATACAGGAAAATATAGAGTCAAAAATAAGAAAATGAGGCCATTCCTGGAACTCAATCCAGCTGAGGACATTATCAAGGAACAGCAGCTGAGATGGTTTGGTCATGTTAGAATGGCTGACAGTAGATGGATAAAAGTCGTATACGAAACAAAAGTGGAAGGGCAGAGGCAAAGAGGAAGACATGCGAAGGAAAAATCCGAGAGGCCTTTGACCGAAGAGGACTAAGATGGGGAAGGAGAAGACGGATGGTCGAAGACATAGATTCTTAGATCAAGCTCTACCCAAGGGATCCTCACACTGCTATGCACTAGAAGAGGAGATTTATTAATAAATAAATAAATAAAAGTAATTTTTTCTTAGCTAGTACTCTTCGCGGTTTGACCAAAGTAAAATTTGGTTGGCAGCCGTACCTTTGAGAGAGTGGAGGAGTTTATTTACCTTGGATCTCAGGTCACAGCAACAAATAATGTTTCCGTTGAAATAAAGCGAAGGATCACAGCGGCTAATCGATGCTATTTTGGTCCGTTTAAACAGCTTCGGAGCAAGCTCATTAGCAGGAAAACCAAGGTCCATTTATATAAAACTCTGATCAGGCTTCTCATAACATACGCCTCCCAGACATGGACACTATCCACATAGGATAGAAATAATCTCCTGGTCTTCGAAAGGAAGATCTTTCGAAGAATCTATGGGCCGGTAAGGGACGAGAAAGGCAGGAGAAGAATAAGAAATAAGAAACTCTATGAGCTGCTCCAGGATATAGGCATGACCTTTATTAGGCTGGGACGCCTTGGGTGGGAAGGGCATGTTGCACGGATAAGTTCTGATGGGAAGGATCATGAAAGAGGTAATCCATTGTACAATAAGACTCGGATAGCACCAAGCTCCGGTGGATGGATGGCTTGGTACAAGTCGCACGAGACATGCTTGGAGTCCGGGATTGGAAGGTAGCAGCTCAAAACCGAATCTGATAGATAGTTGTATGTAGTTATAAGAAGCTTTATTTCAGTTTTTTTCGGCTTTCAAGTTCCAAATAGATCATCTTTTGGTGTTGATCAAAAAGATATTTGATGTTTATTTAGTGTTAGTGAGTAAGAACAAAACATCAAATAAGTATCATCTAAATGTTAATTATTTATTTATTCAAATGAAATTCACAGCTTCATTTGAATTTAAATCGAGTCGGTTTGAATGTCTCCATAGTCATTGTCATTGAATAATGTAAATATTTAAATTTTTTAAAAATATGTCGTTTATTTAAATTGATTACAATCTTTATGCTTGTAGAGAGAAAAAAAAAATCTTCTACGATTACATACTATTAATTAACTATGTTAATGAGATCAAATTCAAAAAGCACAATTAAGAAAATTCGATGGAGTATGTATGGTATATTATTACAATTAACGTGGCTCTCAAATCAGGTGTCGAATCTTGGCCTCCAACAGCAGCAACACCATCAGTCCATCGTACATTTGATCTTCTTCTTGTCCTGGTACCATGGACTGGTTCTATCAGAACTTATCTTGGCGAGTCTTCAATCTCCATCCTGACTCATCTCAGTCTTGTAGTCTTCACCACTTGAACTATATTGGGCTCCTTAAACATGGTGTACAGCTCCTGGTTCTTCTTCCTTTTCCACTCTCCTTCGAAGAGAACACCGTCATAAATACGTCTGAGGATTTTGTTTCAAAGAATAGGAGTTTCTGCTCACAAGCCCGGGCAGAAGTCCAAGTCTCACAGCCAAACTAAGTCTCACAAGACTGGATGCACTAACTTATGAAGACATAACTTTGTTCTTTTGGAGAGAGATCTACTTCGAGATGCCTTGATATAGGTAAATAACTACAATTTCTTGCTATTAACAATGAGCCGAGATATATAAAGACATTAGTCTTCTCGAATGGTACTCTTCGATGGTCACCTTCTCTCCAGGCCTTAGTATCTCTTCTTTAACCAGATATTTTGTTTTGGCAGCGTTGACTTCCAAGCCAAGTCTTCTTGCAAGACTCACTAAAGCAAGAAAAGCGTCCGTATAGCTAAATATATATGTATAGTATATGTCCATTCAAATATCATATATATATATATATATCGTCATTTCCAACACGGCCTTACTCGTAGGCTTAACAATCCGTTATTTCTTTAAAACAGTTGACAAATATGACGCTCAGGGGTGCCATCCCCACCAAGGTCTATAGTGCAAGATCCTACCCCCTCCCCTCCTAAGATATTTTATTGCTCAGCTTTTCTTAAAAACAGAGGTATAATTAGCAAAATCGGAGATCATATACAACTACACTTGCTGCAGTCTGTTCCATGTTTTCTGCTTGTCCCTTAGAATGAAACTTACAATTGATCAAAAATTCAAAATATGCCCCCGTCAAAAATTTTTATGGCGCAACTTGCGTGATCAAAATCCCTTCTGGGTACCCCTGATGACACTGAGTACAGTCTCATGCAAAAGACCCTCCTAATTTATAATATGAATATTGTAAATATTAATAAAATCACTTTACAAGGCAGCACCAGCAAGGCCGGAACTAGGATTTTTTTTTGGAAGAGAAGAAGTTAATTTTTCTCGCTTCTATCACATTTCTTCCTAATAAAAGTCAACATTATTTTAACTGTGTTTAGGACAATTCATTTCAAAATATATATTATCATATCATTACAAACCAATTTTAATGAATGAATAAATATCAAAACAGCGAAACGAATGTATATATTTAACCTAAAAATACAAATTCGTTCGTAAATTATGGATCCCTGAAGACTGGGGATTATTATTACTATTACACCAACCTTTCTCCCCTTCGAGCACCACAATAGTTTAAATAATAAATATATATGCATTATTACATCGTTTAAATAGAATCATAATTAATTAATTTTTTTATAAATAATAAAAACTCAAACAAAATTATACTTAAGAAATCTGAACAAACAGAAATAGTTTGAAAAAAATGTATAGAAAACGACTGCTAAGAAAACCACAACAGTGAATAAAAAATTTATAGAAGTGATTGGAAAACAAAATTAATTAAACTTTTACTTTGAATCCTCAAATTTAAACAAGTAATATAAATACTTAAATTAAAAGTTTTTACTGGTTGATTCTTTGAATAATATCTTTTAGCTATGCTTTGTGTTTTTATGGATGTTGTTTTGACGTAAAGAACCTCCTTGAATTGTAGAAAATAATAATAGTACGATACAAAACATATGAAGGACAACTTATATCGTCATTTAAAAATCATATATATATATATATATATATATATATATATATATATATATATATATATATATATACATTAATTTTTTTTCTAGGGATCAAAAACCATAAAGAGAAAGTCTCATAATTAAGTTAAATTGCCTTTTCATACTTGAAAGATTTAAAAAATAGTGTCAAAAAAATTAATGGTTTACTTCCTAGGATTGTCGTATGAAGAGGTATATTATCTAGTTCATAACATATCGTCCACTAATTTCAGGAATAGAGACAGATGAAGGCTTTGTTTTCTATTTTCTATTTAATTTGGTCTAGCCTAGGAAGTTGCTGGAATGCGGTAGGTATAGATGGTAGATTTAATTTTTTTTTTTCAAAATAATGGTAATTGCTCCACAAGAAATAAAAACTACCCATATCAAAAGATGTTGAAGAGATCCTTAAAGGCAAATAGAATTTTTTTATTTATTACTTAAATACTTAAATAATCACGATATATTCTCATTTTAAATTATATTTTATGTACAGCTTACATTTACACATTGCATTTAAGCACTTATTATTAGCTACTAAGCAATTATGTAAATTTAATCACGTGTCAAGAACAAATATAAGAAATTTACCAGTAAAAGCATTAATTAATGTGGTTGTAATTCAATTTTTTTAAATCAAGTATTTTTAACATTGATTTTAATAAATTTAATAGCTGTTTTTTAAAAAAAAATCTCTAATTTACGATGGTGTGATTAGAATTTAATTATTTTGAACAGCTTATGAGCATTTCCTTCTTGTTCAATAAATTGACCACCTTAAGAATAACATAAAATTGATCTTAACTCATTTTCGGTTCGAAATTGTATCATGCATCAAATGAACTTTTTTGTTGGAAATTTTGTCTAGAATGAATGTCTAGAACTGAGCTGAGACACTCTGAATAAAAAAATACTATTTACTAAAGTAACATGGATTCTTTTAACGATACATTCCTTATATTTTTTATTGACACTTGCTTACATTTAGTAGCAACATATGTGTTATAATTCAAGAAGGTGATACATTGTGATTGTTTAAATATTTAGCCTGGATCACACACTAAACCAAATATAGATCAGCGAAAAAAAAAATTATTTGTCATCAAGGATCACTTAAATTTCGTTTGGGTAGCTTTTTTTTTCTATTTATTTTTGAGTAATTATTGTTATTAAAAAAAAAAAAATAATCCTGAATCCACCACCGGCTTATAGGGAACAACTTCAGATATATTGAAGAAAACAAATATGATCCATATAAGTCCTTAAACGTCGTTTAATATAAGTAGTGTTTTTTTTTCCCTTCCATATGAATTTCTGTCATTAAAAAAATGTTTGTATATTAAATAATGGATAACGTTCTAAGAACGTTCTAAGAAATTTCTTCAGAGAGAATAAAGAAAATCCTTCATCTGTCCTGCCTCAGGAATCCGTAGACGATATATAAGGAAGTATATAATATGTCCTCTTCAATGAAAATCTTAAATATACTAAATATTGTGATTGTTTATGTATTTAGCTTAGAGCAAACATCAAAACAGATATGGACCGATATATTTTTCCTTTCTGGGCGGCTTTTACCCGAAAAGCTCCCCATCTTTAAATTTGCCAGTGTTAGCGAAGAAAAAGGAAGAATAAATATATATATTGTTTTTGAGGATCAAGTCATTGTTTATACGATCATATTTTTTTTTTATATGATCATATTTATCAAATAACCACAATACACAGTTAGAGCCATCGTGTATTTACTCACAGCGAAGACGAGGTTGAAGAAGAAGAGGAGGTACTTGATGAAGCTCATGCCGCAGGCCTCCATGGCTGGTGCGGAGCGGTCGGCAGCTGGGGCGGTTCTGAGCAGCGCCGCCTCCGCCCGTAGCCATGGCAACCTCCGCCACCACAGCCGCCTCTTCATCAATCATCCACTTCTTCCTCCACAATAACCTGATGGATGGTCCAATCGGGCGCCAATCGATGAGCGATCAGGTAACTAGTCCGTGGAGGTACGCTTAGCCAAAACAAAGGCGTCATATTTTTAACAACGGTCACCTTGTTTTTTTCACTTATATATATATATATATATATATATATATATATATATATATATATATATATATTTGTAAATAATAAAAAAAAATAGAAATTCTATTTAGCTTATTATTTTATTTATATTCAAGTTTATTAAGAAGCAATGTTGATAATATCTAGGTTATTTGGAAGTTTTGAATAGCTTCCATTACTGCTTAAAATATTTCATAAATCATCGGGTTTATGTTTCGAATTTCTCCATCTTGGGAGCATTACATTCTTCTTATTAATGTATCAAAGATATAGACGTTTTAAAGTCAATCCCTTAAAATTATTCCTCATTTTACATCTATTAAAAGGTCTATCAGACTGTACAAGCCCACTTTGTCTGCCAAATTCTCTAATGACCCTCTTCATTCATTGAATAGCTTTTTTTTTTTTTATTCACTAATATTTACCGCTGTATTATAAAAAAAACAGCAACTAGTAAACCTGCACACAGTAATAATACAATCACATGAAAACGCTTGTTGAGAAACTACCTATTGGTAGCACTCTAATAATATATTTACATAAGTAGATCACGAGGCCATATTTTTTTTTCAGACTCCTCGGAGGCTTATCAGGGATCGAGGAGGAAGCAACGTTTGAAACGAGAGGGTTCGGATGGTTCTGGAATTTGTTATGGAAGGTCAGGTATCTGGATTGGGCCAAATCGGAAACATATGGAACATTAAGGTCTTTATGGATAATTTTATTTGTGACAAAGTAAGGAGCGTTCAGGATTTTACTTTTTTGGATTGTGGTTGATGGAGCGTTTTGGATTGTAAGGATTGGATACGAGAGGAATTCAATGGTTTAGTGGAGCCCCAAAGCTCAATTCCGTAAATCCAAATAGGTCTTATTACTGTCATATATATGAGTCGTTTGTAATTGATTGAAAGCTTAGAGCGTTTGTCTAGTAAGTGTTGCAGTAGTTGAAGACGTCGGACGGTTTCTAGTCGTTTCAGCCTGGTATGGGGGTTCCATATTTGTAAATTAAATATATATATATATATAAATTCTCTAGTTAGCTTACTGTTTTATTTATTTCATTTATTTTCATGTTAATTAAGAAGCAATGTTGAAAACATCTAGATTATTTGGCAATTTTAAATAACCTCCATTACTGCTTCATATGTTTTATTATTTATAAATCATCGGGTTTATGTTGCGAAAAAACACTCCCCATCTTGGGAGCATTACCTTCTTGGTATTAATTTATTAAAGATTAGGCCTTTTAAAGTCAATCCCTTAAAATTATCCCTCATTTTACATCAATTAAAAGGCCTACAGACAGTACAAGCCCACTTTGTCCACCAAATTACCTAATGACTGTTCATTCAATGAATAGTAACATAATCTGTCACAACCGAGGACAATAAGTATTGGAATTAAAAGTATCCATTCATACAATATATACACAGAAAAACAAAATAAATAATTAAGAACAAAGTTATATATAGGTAAGTGAAAGTAATAAAGTAAAAATAAGTAGATAGATAATAATATATATGCGGTTAAATGTTCAATGTAGCTTTGGCTTAGGGATATGGCTTAATTGGTTTTAGTTAATGTAATCAGTATTACAAACCATGCACATATTCAATAGTTGATGTATAGAATTAGAAATTATATTATTGTACAAATAATAATGATGATATCGGAGAAAGAAAACATGAAGTATAAGATAAAAAAATTGGAGAAATTATGCTACTTAACGAGTAGCATTAAGAATAAAAAATGCCTCTCCAAAAAGTCCAAAATCAGGTACTACATTACAGTGGTAAAGCCAGTGATACTGTATGGAACGGAGACAATGTTCTTTCCCAGTTTGGAGAAACTGCTGAAAATAGAAAGAAGGATTCTTAGGAGAATCCATGGGCCCAATATAATACCAGAAGGATACATATTGAAATCCCATAAGGAAATTTACAGTGAAATCTTTGATTTGGAAACGGAATAGATAATTTGGTAAGAAGACTTAGGTTTTATGGACACATGCAAAGGATGACCGAGGAGAGGTTAAACAAGAAGATTTTCAGTACGGTTATGGGATACAAGTTTAACCATGGATATACGGTACAAATAAAACAGGAAATACAGAGGCTTGGGATAACACGGAAATTATGTGAGGATAGGACAGGATACAAGAAATTCCTGAAAAGTGCGGTGCATGTGGTGGACAGTAAGGAACTTCCGTCCAGGAGGAAGTGGACGGAGGAGATGAAGAAAAAATTTAGCGATATCCTCAAGCAGAGATGGGCAGAAAGGAAGAAATTGAAAAAGAAACCAGTATCATAGTCGAGTAGTCCTTCAGGGCTGTTGCCAAATAAATAAATAAATAATAATGATGGTAAAAATAAGTACATGTCTCTATGATATAAAAAAGTTTTTATAACTGTCATTTTATTTTATTTTATTTTAGTATCAGGAGAGTAGGATATTAAAAGAGCTCGGTAATTAGCTCTAATCATACAGCTGTTCATTTAATTACATATGTGTTGAGCTCCTGTAACCTCCTATTCTCCTAATATACAATAAAGATTTTAGACTAAAAATTTGTACGGGTATTCCTCTGGTTGTTGTTTGATTTTACCTATGTGACAGCAGATATTTTTCGATCTAGACATTTTTATCTTGAATACAATTTATTAATTATTATATTACATATAATTTTATTTATATTATATTGTGATGTAATGATTATCAAATAGAAAAGGTAGCACAATACAGCGTGCAATGAAAACATTATAAATAAATGGCTCAAATAGATTGAAAATTGAAATAAAAGAGTTTATATGAAGCTGGACAAGTTAAATGTATATTATAGTTACAAATTTGCAAGAAGAAGGCGGTATGTAAAATATAGATTTTAAAGAAATTAAAAATTTGACCAAACTTCGTTGAGTTTCTTTTATTCATAAAAAATAATATATGTACTTCATAATACATGTACATTAGTTATAGAATTTGAGCAACGAGATTACATTTACAGAGCCATCCAAGAAAAACCAAGAATTAAGAACAAAATGTAAAGAATATGTAATTTTAAAACTATTTCTATTCACGTTCTAATTTATAATTCATTCCTATTCATTTTGGTATAGACATTCATATACTACAACTAGTCCAGTAAGAATTATCATTTTGAACTTATCATTTGAACAATCCCAGTTGATGATAGAAAAACTATGACAATCTGGATAAAGATTGGAAATATATCAGTCATTGGTAGAAGTGCAAAAGAAAAATTATTAGAAGGGAAAAATATATTTTGATATAGACCTTGGTGCAGTAATCATTACTAGCAAGCATGAGGATATAATATAAATTATCTCCTAATATCGTTGAATTATAAGTAAATATAACAAAAAATATAAAAGAAGTTGATATAACTTCTAAGTACCAAATTTGTAAAAATGCATTTTTCATTTTCGTTACATTTCAATTCTCAATAATAATTGTGAATGAAACGACTAATCATCATCCTTCTGGAAGTGCATTTTTTCATAATTATGCTTGTTTTTAAACAGTTACTTGTTAAATTCATAAATGCTTGTTTAGTTAAATTAAATTAAAAATTAAAGATTAATAACTCAATGAATACTTTTAGAAAACTTTGAATCTTTTAGTAATGGACGAGTTCCCCGTACCTAATCAAGATGCAAATAGAACTATATAACAATAATTTAACACAATTCTTTCACAACGTTTAATTAAATTAACTACACATAGTTGGTTATAGATGAAGACATCGATCGAATATTTGAACTAATTAAGCCTAGTTACACCACACTTCGGGGTGGGAGCGTGTATATAATGGTTACTCAGATCTCTGTTACCCACAAACCAACATGATCTCCAACAGTGCAGTTCTAATCCTTACCATCAGCTTAGCAGCTGGATTCACCATTAGAGATGACGGCTCACAATCCTCTCGCACTAGAAGGGACGCACCGTACCGCGGCCCGCCTGCTCCACTCAACCACGATGGCACGGTAGCCTTCACGTCTGAGTTCCACCAGGTCAATGATGTCCACAATGCGGCCTATGCCGAAGAGTACCAGAGGCTTCAAGCCGCAGAAGCTCTTGCGGCAGCACACCCTGATCGGACATCTCCCCCTTCCAAGGATTACAACCCTCAGGGTAACGGACAGTATAACCACCAGGATAACGGACAGTTCTCACCCAAGCAAGAAGACGATGGACAATACAGGCCCCATCTCTACGAAAAAGGTGAGTCCACACAACAGTACAGCTCACCTGCTTATGTATCACAGCAACCTCAAGTATCTTACAACCAAGGAGGTACTCAACAATATTATAACCCAGCTGCCTACAATGGAGCACATTATCAACCCACTACACAGCACAATCAGCAGCAATATACCACAGCACCTAAAAACCCACAAGCTTACGTACCAGCACCATTGAACCCTGATGGTACAGTCGCTCACACTCCAGAGTACATTGCTCTTGCAGCTTCTCTTCACAATTCCATCCAACAAGCCCAGCAAGCTCTTGTCAGACATCGAAGATCACTGAGCCTCTACCACGGACCTCCAGCTCCGCTCAATCATGACGGAACAGTCGCAAATACTCCAGAGATAGAACACGCCATTGCAGTCCACGAAGCCGCTTATGCTCAAGAATACCAAAAGCTTCAAACTACAGCCCATCAGGAGTACAAATCCCACCCAGAAGACGACGGACAGTACAAACCACATATTTACGATAATGAAGATTACAACCAACACCAAGAAGGCCATCAATATAATAACGACCAATACAGCCACAGCCACTATAATCAAGAACCTTCCTATACTTACAACCCAGAGGCTCACA